CCAAGCTCGCCCCCGCTTCGCTTAAGGGTCGGATGCAAGGCACCCCGCCCAACCATTCCAGTAGCATTGCTAGGTTACTTCTTTGCCGGAGCAACCGAAGGCTTCTTGGCAGCCCCAGAAGCTGCCACTTTCTTCTTTATGCCCTTCGGTTTCTCAGCCCACATTTCTGGGAAAAGAGAGGCAAACTATCAATGACCTCCACAAATTAAAAAAGGAGCGCGAGCCAATAAACACTTTACCTTTATGAAGGATGGTGATGAAATTTGCTCTGTTCGAGCAAAAGTCATATGCCCTTAGTCGAGGAAGTGAGATAATCTTGTTGACATTACGCTCATTGTCAAAGAGATTACTGAAGCACTGATGCCTTTGTAAGCTCTCTTCGGGGAGAAAATTTTGTTCGACGTTAACTACACAATAAAGAAGTTTAGTTAGTTCGATCATCGAGCTTGAAAGCTCTAGCACTCACTAGAGGTCGAAGTCTTACATTACTAGTTTTTGAACAAAAAAGCTAGTCTCCCCAACCTCATAAAAGAAAAACTAAGAATCCCAATGTGGGACCTTCTTTGAAACATCAATCAAACTGTTAAAATTACCCTCCTCGCCTTGGAGAGGTAGTATGTCTGGTCTTGACCCTTTTTCGACCTATATATATGGATGAGCTCCTCAACAGATGGCTTGCTCAACTCAGCAATTTGATATGCTATGTACAACCCTATGATTATGACATATGAGTTCGCAGATAGCTGGAGAAGGACGATGTCGAACCGTCTCAAAATGCTGTCGATGAAATGATGAGCGAGGATAGATAACCCGTACCTCAAGAAGGACTCAGAAACCACCACGCAACCCATCGGCTGATTCTTCTCTCGAAACCCTCAAATTAAGTTGAGGCGCATAAGTCTCAGTTATGCACCTTAGATCCTCGATCTCGATCAAGGATTATGGCTCTTTACACGACCTCTGTAGAGGCATGGTCAAAAGAGCCCGCCGCATCGGGGTCTGAGCTCCATGAAACAACATCCTCATAAACCTTGTGGATTATGCCCCTAAGGACATGCGATCAATTGTGTGGTTGCTTAACGAAGACATGATTATAGCTCGCCTCTAGTTACCTAGAACAGAAGTGAACATGTGTTAGAGCTCAAAAACCTTTAGAGCTCAAAAACCTCGGTGACCTATCCACACTTTGCTTTTAGTTTAGGCACTCGAGATAGCTCACGTCGGACAACATACAAACGCGACCTACCAGGGATTCCGGCGGCCATTATGATAAACCCTCCTTAAACCCAAGACCACCAAAGACACACTCAAGAACTCTAACAAGGCCCTAAAAGACTCAATGTGGCCATGACAATGGCCACCGACAACTGTGAAAATCAAGAAAACAAGTAAAGGAAGGGAAAAGAAACCTTACTGGAATAAGAGAATAGGATGAAATAGTCGGAAAAGCGTCGTGAAGATGAAGAAGAAGCAACGAAAGAGCAAAAACACTTGAGAACTTTTGCAAGGTGAATAAGCTTGTTGACGAGTTTGCCCACTTTTATAGTGGTTTGCTTGGGATACGAAAGGGTGGGGTTTGATTGTAGCCGTCGATATATAGTGAATCTCGACCCTTCATTTGACGAGCAATCTCGACCTTTGAACGTGGCCACGTGTCGATCATCCACGAGGGGTGATCAACCATCAGACTGCCATGATCATAACCATCGCCAAATGTCACCTCAACTTTGCGTGTGGACAGTTACAGTCGCACACGTGTGATGAAAAGTAATTGCCAAAGGTTGCCGTATTTAATGTGACATGATCACGTGGAATTTACACCAATACCCTTTCTTTTCAAATTCTAAGTTTGTCAGGAATATCACAGAGGAGAAATGGTCAAGTGTTGAGTACGTCGATTGGAGATGAGTCCGACTCATGAAGCTCAACAAATCTATATTCGACGCTCGAAACAAACATCAAACACTTAGAAGCAGATATTGTGTGTGACTTTTCCATCAAGCTCGGAGAATTGTGAGGTTGTAGCTCGATCCAGAACCAGCTTAACTCTATCGATTGTCCAACCCAACATAAGCTCGTCGAGTTATAGCTCGACCTAGTGCAAGCTAGTTGTGACCAATCCTTACAGTTGTTCAACTAGCTAACAGATAACTCCAGATCTTGGATATCTCGAAAGGCATTAGATCAACAACAATTTTTGTGCAATCACAACACCTAATCTTGAGAATATCAGAGTTAATTTCAAACTTAATTGTAATCCATTTACTTTCGCTCTTTCCTTTACACAAATTCAGTATATAAATCCCCTCCAATGATAAGGAGGTTTGCAAATATTTCTAGGACTGTTATTGTAAGCTTTCACAGCTGATGTGACTAAATCAACCTCAATAAGTGCACTAGTCGTGTTCAAGTAATAAAGTGATGAGTTTGAGTATCGTCCCACATAGATCAAAGCGAATATTTGTAATTACCTAAAACTACTTGCACGTTATTTGAGAAAACGAAATCTTAGAGTGTAAAAATGACGGATTAAAAATAACTAAATTAAACTAATAAATAATGTGATGAACTTTGCAATATTAATGAAGTTAGGGTACAGATTTCCCCTTAATTATGCTTGACAACCACTCTTAATACCTGTTTGTCTATGAATTGGTAAGATTCTTGTAAGGCCAATTATTCTTATTCAGGCATAATATTCAACTTTATACAGATCCCTATTCGGTTACTCTGAAATTAAGAAGCATAAATTCATCAATCCCTTATGACTAATTTGCCCTATTCGGTTATGAATTAGATGGACCACAAATTAATCCTAGAATCTCTATTCAATTACTTCTAGTTTTAATATGTTGTGCAATGTTATTCCTATAGAACAATTATGAATATGAATTAAGCAATAAACCTTAACTTCTCTATTCAAAACATCATCAAGGTAATTGAATCAATCCAACATTCATAAAGCATTAAACCTAAACTCTTGCACAAATTCATAAACATAAATCTGGTATTAAGAATAAAAATTGTTCAAAACATAATTAGGGTTCCATCCTCCCCTAACAAAAGAGATTTACTCTATCCTAAGAATAAAGAAATAAATAGAGAAGAAAGAAAACATAATCAGACTTGAAAATAAATAAAAATCAAACTCTTAAATCTGATCTTCAGTCTTCAAGCCCCAAGAATGGGTCTTCTCCTCTAAAAAATATGCAAAATTCGTCCTCTAACAACTGATCTCAATTATACTTAAAAACCCAAAAGAGTCCTAAGTGAAAAAGGAAAGAAAAACTGATAAAAACGCCCTAATAGTTTTCGCCACAACCCTGGCCGTGGCCAAATTTAAGTCACCACAGCTTAGGTCGTGGTGCTTCCTGGTCTCTTTGTTTTCTCTTTGTTCCATCACCATGACCATGGTGAACTACCAAGGCATGGTCATGGCCTTCAAGACTGTTAGGTAATCTCAACTTCTTCAAGGTTTAAGTCCCAATTTCATTCCAATACTCCAATCTACTCAATCAAAGCCTAAAAAAATACAAAAGTTATCCAAATCAATAGGTAACCATTCATATCTCAAACTTAACCAAAAAAAAAAAAAAAAAACATCAAAACAAAGGAAATAAATGAGAAGTTAACTAAACTAACATCAAAACAACCCTAAAAACACTCAAATTATGCAACTTATTAACTCCCCCAAACTTAATCCTTTGCTCGTCCCTAAGTAAAGAAAATATCAGAAAAAATAAACTCAACAATCATCAAGGATTCGTAACAATCCCAAAATCAAGGAAAAGAAATCAAACATGCTTTAAATAATATTCATGCTACCAAACATACAACCCAGCTAATTGTGCAACTCTAATCTTTCCTCAACCTGATCATGCCTCACCAAGACTGTATTACTCACCCCCTACTTATTTTTTTTTTTTTGGTTTTTCTTTTTGTTTTTTCAATTGCTTCCTCAGATTGTCACATCACCTTTTTACACGATGCACACATTGTATGAGTGCCCCCGGTTACTCAACAATGTCACACACATAAAGTGCTTTGTATACTCATACTTCAAGCCCCGATTGACGTAAAAGTAAACATGGGGCTCATGAATACTCCTGGTTACTAAGCAGCTCAAAACAGGGAGTAGTTCATCAAAAACAAAAAAATAGCATTGTTAATTTATTTCAAGACCATATATACAATTTTTTTTTTTTTTTTTTTTTTTTTTTGTAGGGAGTGAAGACAAGGCTCAGCTAGTACATAACAAAGTCAAGTAATAAACCATATTTGCACAACCATCTAGAATTGCATACTCTTCAGTATTCCTAAAGATATAAGCATGTTTGAATCCTTTCAATGACTTGATACTACCACTACTCCAAATTATTACAAAGTTCATCACAAAAAGCAATTTTTTTTTCTTTGGGGATATCACAAAGTTTCGTTTGGGATTGTATCAAAAGCACAAGCATAATAACCACCATGCAACAAATAAAAAAATACAAACCAAAAACACACAAATAAAATAAACACTTCCTAAAAACAAACCCACCAAACAAAAGAAACAGACTATCAACAATGCAACACAAACCAAACAACAATTTAACATAAATCAAACTGCTCACTCCCCCAAACTTAAAGAATGCAATGTCCTCAATGCATCAAAAACAAAAACCAAAATAGAAAATATGGAAAATAAAATATAGAAACTTCCCTTAAAAAAAAAAGATTTTTTTTTTTTTTTGGCACATGGTCATGGCTGTGTAAAATGACACGGGATACCCCATGGTGAAGGTTGGAATCTGCAAGCTTTTTATCTTTTAACATGGCCACGGCTGTGTAAAATAACACAGGGTAGCCCATGTTTTATTCTGCTCAAAATTGTCTTTTTCTTCTATCACTTAAGCTTCCCCCAAACTTGTTTCTTGTTCCAACGATAACAAAACAAAAATAAAAACAAAATCAAACAAAAATAAATTAATTGTAGAAGAGAGAAAAGCAAAAAAAATTTATAGTTCTAATTTAGAGTCGTTAGCTTGACTTTCTCCACTTTCTTCATTCAAGAAACTGGATGGACGTGATGTTTGGATCGAAACGTCCTCTAATAAGTGCTTCAAACGGTGTCCATTAACTTTAAACGTTTCACCTGTCTTTCCATGGTGGATCTCAATTGCTCCAAAAGGTGTTACCTGAATTACCTCATATGGACTCGTCCAACTTGATTTCAGCTTTCCTGGGAAAAGACGAAGATGACTATTGTAAAGAAGAACTTGCTGTCCTGGCTCGAACTCCGTTTTCACAATGTGCCTATCATGCCATCTCTTTGTCTTCTCCTTGTACAAACTAGCACTCTCATATGCCCAATGACGAAATTCATCTAGCTCACTCACCTGCAAAAGACGTTTAGCACCTGCACTTTGCACATCAAAATTCAAAAATTTAGTAGGCCAATAAGCTTTGTGCTCTAATTCTACCGGCAGGTGACATGCTTTTCCAAATACTAACCTATAAGGTGACATACCTATAGGTGTTTTAAAGGATGTCCTATATGCCCATAAAGCATCGTCTAACTTTATCGCCCAATCTTTTCTATAGGCACTAATGGTCTTTTCTAAAATTCGTTTTAGTTCTCTATTAGATACCTCTACTTGACCACTACTTTGGGCATGGTAGGGAGTGGCTTCCTTGTGTGTGCTCCATATTTCTTTAAGAGTGCATTAAATTGGTGATTACAAAAATGCTTCCCACCATCACTAATGATTGCCCTAGGAGTTCCATATCTAGTGAAAATATTCCGCCTAAGGAATTTGAGTACTGTTCTAGAATCATTAGTTTTGGTGGCAATTGCCTCCCCCTATTTAGAAACGTAATCTACTGCCATAAGTATAAAAGCGTTTCCATACGATGATGGAGACGGTCCCATGAAATCAATACCCCAAATATCAAAAATTTCACATACCAATATATTATTTAAAGGCATCTCATCTTTCTTATAAATGTTACATATTCTTTGGCAATGATCACAAGAGGATACATACCTTTGAGCATCCCGAAACACAGTGGGCCAATAAAAACCTGATTGCAACACCTTTGCTGCTGTGCGATTCGCCCCGAAATACCCTCCGGTTTCTCTATCATGGCAGTGACTCAAACTAGCTCCAATCTCTTCTTCTGGCACACATTTTCAAACAACTTGATCTGCACATAGTTTGTACAAGTAAGGGTCTTCCCACAGATAATATTTGACATCAGCCAAAAATTTCTTCCTTTGCTGGAATGTAAAATGCTTTGGAATCCAGCCTCTTGCAAGAAAATTAGCCAAATCAGCAAACCATGGAGATTTAGAAAAAGAAGAGTTAAGAGATAGAATTCGCTCATCAGGAAATTCTACACTAATATCTCCCTCTTCAAGGATTGAATTATCTAGTCGAGACAAATGATCAGCAACTTGATTTTATGTCCCCTTTCGATCTTTAATCTCCAAATCAAACTCTTGAAGTAGAAGGACCCATCTGATAAGACGTGGTTTGGCATCCTTCTTAGCAAAGAGAGGTCGTAGAGCTGCGTGATCTGTGTAGACTATAGATTTCATGCCTATAAGGTAGGATCTAAACTTCTCGAATGCAAAGACCACTGCTAGTAATTCTTTCTCGGTTGTTGTGTAGTTCAGTTGCGGACCATTTAAGGTATGACTGGCATAGGATATGACATGAAACATTTTGTCTTTCCTTTGACCGAGAGTAGTATCGATGGCATAGTCACTCGCGTCACACATAATTTCAAAGGGGTTGTTCTGATCTGGTGCGACCACTATTGGTGCTGTCACTAGCTTCTCCTTCAGCAAATTAAGAAATTAAAGGCCTGCAAACATTCATAATCAAAGTTAAATTTTATATCCTTGGCAAGAAGATTAGATAGAGGTTTTGCAATTTTTGAGAAATCTTTAATAAATCTTCTATAAAATCCTGCATGGCCAAGGAAACTTCTGACTGCTCGAACTGTTGTCGGAGGAGGTAATTTTTCAATCACTTCTACTTTTGCTTTATTAACCTCAATCCCTCACTCAGAGATCTTGTGTCCAGCACGATACCTTCTCGTACCATAAAATGACACTTCTCCAAATTCAGCACAAGATTTGATTCCTCACAAAGCTTAAAACTAACGCAAGATTTTGCAAACAAGATTCAAAGGTTAGTCCATACAAAATAAAATCATCCATGAAAATTTCCAGAAATTTTTCAGTCATGTCAGAGAAAATTGCCATCATGCAACGTTGGAAAGTAGTTGGCGCATTACATAAACCAAATGGCATACGTCGATAAGCGAACGTGCCATAAGAACAAGTAACTGTTGTTTTATCTTGGTCCTCTGGAGCAATAGGAATTTGATAATAACTAGAATAGCCATCAAGAAAACAGTAAAATTTACTACCTGCTAATCTCTCTAACATCTGATCAATAAACAGCAATGGGAAATGGTATTTTCTAGTGGCAGAATTTAATCTTCTATAGTCTATACACACACGCCATCCAGTTACCATCCTAGTGGGGATAAGCTCATTATTTTCATTCTTCACTACGGTCATTCCCCCCTTCTTAGACACCACTTGCACAGGACTAACCCAATTACTATCAGAGATAGGATAAATAATACCTGCATCGAGTAATTTTACCACTTCCTTTTGTACCACTTCTTACATGGCAGGATTTAATCTCCTTTGTGGTTGTATTGCTAGCTTGAAATTCTCTTTCATGAGGATCTTATGCATGTAGATGGAAGGGCTTATTCCCTTGATATCAGTGATTGTCCATCCCATAGCCTTCTTATGCTTCCTCAAAATGTCTAGCTGTGACTTCTCCTCCAAATCTGTCAAAGATGCAGAAGTAATCACAAGGTAAGCATCTTTATCTAGAAAAACATATTTTAAATGTGAAGGAAGAGGTTTAAGTTCAAGTTTAGGAGCCTCATTAGGAGTTTTATGTAAATCCTCCTTTAGCTCCATATTATTATCAGTCAGAGATTCTTTCTCTAACGTTTCAGCTTCTTCTCTCAAGCATGGGTCTTCATCTTCTGTTGTGCTTGACTCCATTAGACATCTCTCCAAAGAGTCCTTTTGCAAAACTTTTTCTCTATGATCACCTACAATCCCACCAAAACTGTTAGGGTGAAAACAAGATTCAATATAAAATGTAGTAAGATTTTTCATCGCTTTATGGACATCAACACTATTTCTTCATCATTTAGTCTTAGAATTAATTTTCCTTGTTGCATGTCTATCAGAGCACGAGCTTTCGCTAAAAATGGACGTCCTAAAATTAGAGGCACCTCCTGGTCCTCCTCCATATCAAGAACTACGAAGTCCACCGGAAAGATAAATTTGTCGACCTTTAACAAAATGTCTTCAACAATGTCTTTAGGTCATTTAATTGATCTATCAGCAAGCTGGAGCGACATCTTCGTCTCTCTCACTTCTCCAAGTCCTAGCTTCCTGAAAATTGATAAAGGCATTAAATTAATACTAGCACCTAAATCACACAATGCTTTATCAAAGAATGAATCTCCTAATGCACAAGGTATAGTAAAAGTCCTTGGATCTCCCAGTTTAGGAGGTAATTTATTTTGGAGTATGGCACTGCATTCTTCAGTTAGCATAACTGTTCCATGCTCCTCGATCTTCCGCTTGTTAGAAAGGATGTCTTTTAAGAACTTTGCATAACTAGGCATTTGTGCTAAAGCTTCAGCAAATGGAATATTTATTTGCAATTTCTTAAAGACATCTAAAAACTTTGAAAATTGTTGATCCAGTTTATCCTTTCTAATTCTATCAGGATAAGGAAATTTAGATACATTTTTTTCAACAACAATAGAATCATAATTTGACATACCTTTTCCTTTACCTCTTGCAATTTCCTTTACCTTAGTCTCTGTCTCTTTTTCTGAATTTGCTTTCTTTTCCTCAATAGAGATCGGTAACTCTGCTTCACTTTTCACCTTCTTTTGTGATTCTTCTTCACCAATCACCTTTCCATCCCTCAAGGTTATGGCCTTACATTGCTCCTTTAGGTTCCTTTCCGTGTCACTCGGTAAATGCCCTTGCTGTCTACCTGAAATGATATTGGCCAACTGGCCAATTTGAGCTTCTAAATTCTTGATGGAAGCCTCTTGATTTTGAATTCTTGTCTCTGTAGTACTCAAGAACTTCGCCATCATCTCCTCTAAATTTGATTTCTTCTCTTGAGATTGAAAACCTGGTGGTGGAGGTTTCACTTGAGTGTTGTTACTCCAAGAGAAATTTGGGTGATTCCTCCACCCCGGATTATATGTTTCATTATATGGATTATTATTAGGCTTGCGAAAATTTGAAACATAGTTAGCTTGATCAGGCATAGAATTAATACCAAACATGTTACCTGATTAACACTCATGGTTAGGGTGATCTTGCCACAAAAATCACACATAGAAGCAACTATTGCAGGTTTTTGCATTTGAAGTCCATCAATCTTCTTATTTAGTGCCTGCATTTGTGTTGCCAAAGCTGTGATAACATCTATGTTATGAACACCCGACGTTCTTCTCACAGGCAACCTCTTTATCGGCCATTGATAAGAGTTTGAAGCCATTTCCTCCAGCAATTCATAAGCTTGTTCTGGTGTCTTCTTTCCTAAAGTACCACCCGCAGCAGCATTGATCATATTTCGAACTTCACTATTAAGACCATTATAGAACGTCTGGACTTGCAGCCAAACTGGTAATTCATGGTGGGGACATCTCTAGAGCATGTCCTTGAACCTTTCCCATGCTTCGTATAATGACTCTGTATCCACCTACACAAACATAGTAATATCATTACGCAATTGTGCAGTCTTTGCAGGAGGAAAATACCTACTCAGGAATTTTTGTGTCATTTGCTCCCAGGTTGTAATCGAGCATGCTAGTAATGAGGTCAACCAACTCTTAGCTTTGTCTCTTAATGAAAATGGGAACAATCTTAGTCTTATAGCTTCATCGGAAACTCTATTGTGCTTAAAAGTATCACAAATCTCCGGGAAATTTGCAATATGTAAGTTGGGATCTTCATGTGCGAAACCACCGAACTGCAATGACTGCTGAATCATCTGGATGATTGCTAGCTTTATCTCAAAGGTGTTGCATTGATCACTGGTCATTGAATGCTCGATGATGCTCCATTTAGAGATGGGGTAGAGTACTCATTCAATGTACGAGCTGCTAGTGGTGTTCCATTATTTGGGTTATTGTGATCACCCATGATGTCCCTTTTGATTGCTCTCTTTCTTACGTGAAAAGTGCGCTCTATCTCAGGATCAAATGCTAGTAAAATCTTTCCAGAAGCTCTGGTCATACACTAGCAGAAACACCTATTGGTTTCCAACCAAATTTAAAAAAAAAAAAATCTCGAAGTAACAAGTAATCTTAAAATAATCACAAACAATCTAATGATCCCCGGCAATGGCGCCAAAAACTTGATGCGACTAAATCAACCTCAGCAAGTGCACTAGTCATGTTGAAGTAATAAAGTAATGAGTTTGAGTATCGTCCCACACAGATCAAAGCGAATATTTGTAATTACCTAAAACTACTTACACGTTATTTGAGAAAACGAAATCTTATAGTGTAAAAATGGCGGATTAAAAATAACTAAATTAAACAAATAAATAATGTGATGAACTTTGCAATATTAATGAAGTTAGGGTACAGATTTCCCCTTAATTATGCTTGACAACCACTCTTAATACCTGTTTGTGCTATGAATTGGTAGGATTCTTCTAAGGCTAATTATCCTTATTCGGGCATAATATTCAACTTTATACATATCCTTATTCGGTTACTCTGAAATTAAGAAGCATAAATTCATCAATCCCTTATGACTAATTCGCCCTATTCGGTTATGAATTAGATGGATCACAAATTAATCCTAGAATCTCTATTCGATTACTTCTAGTTTTAATATGTTGTGCAATGTTATTCCCATAGAACAATTATGAATATGAATTAAGCAATAAACCTTAACTTCTCTATTCGAAACATCATCAAGGTAATTGAATCAATCCAACATTCATAAAACATTAAACCTAAACTCTTGCACAAATTCATAAATATAAATATAATATTAAGAATAAAAATTGTTCAAAACATAATTAGGGTTCCATCCTCCCCTGACAAAAGAGATTTACTCTATCCTAAGAACAAAGAAATAAATTACTCTATCCTAAGAATAAAGAAATAAATAGAGAAGAAAGAAAACATAATCAGACTTGAAAATAAATAAAAATCAAACTCTTAAATCTGATCTTCAGTCTTCAAGCCCCAAGAATGCGTCTTCTCCTCTCAAAAATATGCAAAATTCGTCATCTAACAACTGATCTCAATTATACTTAAATACCCAAAAGAGTCCTAAGTGAAAAAGGAAAGAAAAACTGATAAAAATGCCCTAATAGTTTTTGCCACAACCCTGGCCGTGGCCAAATTTAAGTCACCATAGCCTAGGCCGTGGTGCTTCCTGGTCTCTTTGTTTTCTCTTTGTTCCATCACCATGGCCATGGTGAACTACCAAGGCATGACAGTGGCCTTCAAGAGGTAATCTCAACTTCTTCAAGCTTTAAGTCCCAATTTCATTCCAATACTCAAATCTACTCAATCAAAGTCTAAAAAAAACACGAAAGTTATCCAAATCAATAGGTAACCATTTATATCTCAAACTTAACAAAAACAAACATCAAAACAAAGGAAATAAATGAGAAGTTAACTAAACTAACATCAAAACAACCCTAAAAACACTCAAATTATCCAACTTTTCAACATCAAATACCAAAACAGTCTCTCACAGCAAATACAAAAATAGTAAATATAGGCTCAAGAGTTCAATTCGCTGAACCACTTTAAAAACCTCTTTGTCATTTACTTTGTTGCTTTTTATTATTTATTCACTGTTGGTTATTCGTAATCATACACACATAAGTTTTGATCCCATCAAGATCGATCGGATCACTCTAATTTGTGTATTTTTGCATCAACAATGTCAACTTAATGATTTTATGTATCTGCCTATTAGAGGTTAAAACCTGAGGTAAAGTGTAATATATAAATATATTTCTCTAAATTTTTACCTTTTTATAAAAGTAACTTTTATTATTTATTTTTAATTTATGGATTTTCTACTTCATTATTTTTAATATTATTGACCTCATTACAGAAAATAAAATATAGTTTGTTTCTTTTACATTTTGATATATATATGCACACACACATCACATCACATTATCATTTTTCCGACGAATAATACTGCATATACATCATTCTCATACAACATTTTTCATATAATATTATGTGGTAAGATATGATTGGGTAAAAGTTTAATTTTAACTTTAAATTAACCAATCATATCTTATCATATAATAGTGTACGAAAAATATTATATGAAAATAATGTGTGTATAATATTATTCTTTCTCGACATATGTGACACGCGTAATAAAGATGTTTAACTCGTCATTCAAATGCCCGCCACGCACGCATAATAGTTTTTCTACGGGTAAGTAGCCTTCTGCAACAAAGAGGTCAATAGTTAAAAAAAAAAAAAAAATCCTTTTTAATTCTTCATCAACATTCTCTGTACGGTTCAGTTCTTTGAGCTCTCTTAGACGAACACAAGAAATGTCTGATCGATTCTTCCCAAATGTAATGCCAGACTTTGCTGAAGAAACAACTGAGCAAAAAGATGACACAACCGGGGAGTCTCTCTTGAAGCTTCTCTCAATGCCATACCCTTCTCTTTCTCAACGATTCAAACGAGCTGCTCTCGACCTCAAAGAAACTGTACCCCTCTCTCTCTTGTTTCTTTGCTCTATTATTGGTTTAATTTTTTTTTTTTTTGAATGCTAATAAACTGTTTCTGGAATTGTTTCGTTTTGTTTTCAGATTGTGATGGAGACGTGGGGTTTAACCGGGCAACACGTGCGTGACTTTACTCTGTATAGCGGTGCCCTCGGTACGGCTTTCTTGCTTTTCAAAGCCTATCAAGTTGATAAAAACAAGAATGATCTTGGCCTTTGCTTAGAGATTGTAAAAGCTTGTGACTCCTCTTCTTCAGCTTCTCGGTATTCTTCCTATTTCTTCAGTCTTTACATTTCTGTTTTTATTAATTTAAATTTAGTGCAAATAAGCTGTACAGAGTGTTTTCATACTAAATTATTTCAGACTTGATGTTACCATTTCTCATTTTTATGTTTTCATTGTTAGGGATGTGACTTTTATTTGTGGGCGGGCTGGTGTTTGTGCCCTTGGTGCTGTGGCAGCTAAATGTGCTGGCAACGAGCAGTTGCTCAAATACTATTTATCTCAATTCAGAGAGGTAATTTCGTTTGTTTGCTCCAGTTTTAATGGCATTTTGTCATTAAAGTTGATTTGTTTATTTACTATGTTTTTAGCTCTTGATGTTAAACTTAAGGATAAGTTGAACCATGAAACAGATTAAGCTGTCCCGGAATGTCCCTAATGAGTTATTGTATGGAAGAATTGGGTATTTGTGGTCTTGTTTGTTCTTGAACAAACATATTGGTGATGGGACTATTCCTTCTACGACCACTGTAAGTTTCCCATTTTACCTGATCAATCCTAGTTTCATGGTTTTTATGGTTTTTGATTTTTAATCATATGGTAGTTCTTGTTTAGCGGGCCGTTATAGATGAGATTATTAAGGATGGAAGAGAGTTGGCTAAAAGAGGAGGACCTCCATTAATGTACGAATGGTATGGAACAAAGTATTGGGGTGCTGCACATGGTTTGGCAGGTATCATGCATGTTTTAATGGACTTCGTATTGAAGCCAGATGAGGCTGAGGATGTCAAGGCCACACTTAAATACATGATTAAGAACTGTTTTCTTAGTGGGAACTACCCTGTGAGTGAAGAAGATAGAAAGAGGGATATTCTTGTGCACTGGTGTCATGGTGCTCCTGGTGTTGGTCTCACACTTGTGAAGGCAGCAAAGGTATTAGTTTATCAAAATTCTCAAAAATGTTTTGTTATTAGAGCAGAATGGTTGAGTTTTGGATTGCGTGTTTGACATGATGTGGAATTATTCTAATGCCTGTTTTATTTAAAAATAACTTGAATAGTTTTGGGAATAACTTCAGTTTTGGATTAAATAAACTTGAAGTAATTCATTAGTTTACATAGATTTCAAATGTAAATCTCACTTTCTTGAAGTTGTTTCAGACTGTCCACATTAATTAATTGAACTTTATTAGCTTGTTCAGTTAAAATTTCTGTTTCCTTTTTTCACCGTATTTTGAACTGCTCTTTCTGGTAATTGTTTCTCTCAGAGATTTTGCAAAACATGTCAAAATTTCAGGTTTTTGAAGATAAAGAATTTCTGGAAGCAGCTGAGTATGCAGCGGAGGTGGTGTGGAACTGTGGCCTGCTTAAGAGAGTTGGGATATGCCATGGAATCAGTGGGAACGCATATATGTTCCTCTCACTCTATCACCTGACAGGCAACTTAGAGTTCTTATATAGGGCTAAAGCATTTGCTTGCTTTCTTCTTGATAGAGCTCACAAACTTATAGCAAAAGGAGAGATGCATGGAGGTGATAACCCTCATTCCCTATTTGAAGGGCTTGGAGGTATGGCATATCTTTTTCTGGACATGTTCGAGCCTCCTGAGGCTCGGTTCCCAGCTTATGAACTCTGAAGTTGCAAAGAACTGAAAGAGCACAATTGATAATGAAGGGAGATTTTAGTATAGTACTAGGATTGATGTTAGTGCTTATAGCGGCATGTCGTTGGCATTAATCACATTTCACATTGTTGGCATTATTAGGTTTGAGTTGTTAATAATGTTTGGATGGCCTAAACTACTTGTGATACTTGTGCTAGTGGGAACACCAAGTTCAATGACATGTCCAGTATAAGAAGGTTCTCTTATAGTTGATCTTACTCCAATATCTGCTATATTTTCAATGTCCGTATATATTAATTGAAACCCAGAAATATTAAAATGGGTAAGGAGAAGTAGAGAAACATGATTCTTGCTCAGATTTGCTGATTACAACATTATTAAGACAAATCTTTTCCCAACATATCTGGCCTACACATGTAGGATTTATTCTTTCTGAATGACATTTCAAACACTTGGCCGATCTCATCAGATGCTACATTTGTTAAGGAAGGTAATAATGAGCTGATTCGCTTTCTCTGGAAGTTGTTCTTGAATGAAATGGTTTCCCTCTTCACTGAAGATGATCTCCAAGTTAGGCATGAAATGTTTCACCAGCCCAGACCGAATGAACTCCTCCATCCCTGGGAACTTCAGAACATAATCCTTCTCACCCATGATCAACAACGATGGACAGTTGATTTTCGGATCAGTAGTCACGCATTCTTCTGCAAAGGACCTGCATAATTGCATATGCGTTGGCGAAGCAACCTGTTTACTACAATAATATAACCCTTGAAGTAACTAGCTCAAATTTGGGATTTGTCAGGTTACCTGTAAGGAACCGTCAATGCTGTACGGAAACCTGATTTTTCATATAAAGAAGCATAAACAGAAAGATCTTCCTCGGTGAACCAAGGTGGCAAAGGAGTAGATGGGTCAACCAAGTCCAAGGTCTCCTGATCATCAGCAGCTACTTGCAACTCACTTCCTGAGAAGTGAGTGTAAATCTTTCTTATCACCGTTTTCACATCAAATCGGCCAAAATCCGCTTCAGCTCGCTCCGGTAGCTGAGTTGAACAAAGCACTCAGTTATTACTAAATTAATTAAAATGAACATTCCTATAAATTAACTGATTGAAAAGAAAGAGATTACCTGCCACCTCTTTATGTAGAACCCATTTGGAAGGTTATCAAGCATCTGGACAATAGATGGTCCCGGTACCATGAAAGGAATGCCCAGTGTTACAAGTCCGGCCACTCTTTCAGGGTGCAGTGTAGCTAGAATGAATGCTGGCAGGGCACCAAAGTCCTTCCCAACAAGCAGAGCCTGGTTTATTGATTATGAAGCCACAGGCGACACTATTAGGACTTGTCTAGGATTATCACATATGGAAAATTTACGGGAAAAGAAGGTCTTATGTGGTGCAAGATCACTGGACAGCTAGCCATTATCGATCTGTAATATAAATCTAGATATTTTCTTAAAAAGAAATTATATTTATTGGTAGACAAATGTCAAGTATTTGTAACCTATACTCTCTTTATATATTGTGTGCTTGCCCTTTTTATCATAAATTTGACTACAAATTTGTGACTGAAAAATACCTAGTTAAATTTCATTCACCCATCCTAATTCCTACCTTCTTATCCACCCAAAACTCTGGTTATCTCAAGCATATTCAAAGTTGCATAAAATTTTATTCAATTATCTTTTGTCACATCATGTTATATGAAAAATATTGTATATGTATTATTACTTTAAAGAAAAAATTATGCTACATTAGTTTGTATATACAATACCAAATTATCGTGTTAATATCACATCAAATTTTTACTATTTTATTAAATAATTTTCATATACTCAAAAGTTATATATATATATATTTTTTTTTTTTTCGATGTTATCTAAGCTAACCAAATTGTCATGCTCTTTTTATTTTTCATAAAAAACTAAACTTTATGAAAATGTTTGTTATGCCTAAAAAATTAAGGCTGACGTAAACTCACATCAGCAAACAACAATCAGAGTTTAAGATGACTTTACGTCATCTAGAATCTGCCACATCACCCAAGACAAAGAGAATACAGTTGTCACCAACCCAACAAGTTTAAGTTTTGTCTGTGAATGAATGAGGTCCACACACATGTCCAAACCCCTGATAATTTGAAGATATTTCTTAAATTATCAACCAATGGGACGTAAAGAATGACTTGCATGGCACCTATCCACTTACAGACTTATAATCATTATCTTGAAATCAGCAGTTATAAATAGAAGACTCTCCCTCACAAAAGGAAGATCTCTAATTTTCAGAACAATTAATAGTAAAGACAACTTATGAGAAAGAGACTGGTTTAATATTCTCTCTTAATACTAGGCTTCTGTATCTCTGTTTACTGTTCGCAATCTTTTATAACATACTTATATAAAAGAAATAATGAATGTAGGAATCGCTTTAAGTATCTGAATCATTATAAAATTCTCACTGTGAATAACTTTGTCCTAACTCATAAATTAATCACGTATAATTTTTAAAACCTATTTAACACTTTACCGTATAAGATAATTGGTGTCAAATTCAAACATTATCAATGTCTTTCCACCGCATTATAATCTACAACAGATAGAAAATTATAAATACATGTGGGTGGGGTAGCCGCTAGTGTTAAAGAAACGACTGAAGTCAACTTCAATACATTTGCCTCTGGCATTGTAACTACCGCCCATGTGCTCTTATTAATGTAATTATTTAATTATTAGTACTAATAAAAAGGAATCCCGATTGGTTATTGGCTATTGCGCTTACACCTTTTCACCAACTTTTTTTTTTTTTTTTTAATTAATCAATTTATAATAAATCTCACGATAAAATATTATTGATCAATTATGAATAATAACATCCAAATCGTGAAAAAAATAAAAACAACCAAATCGTGAAAAAAATCTTTAATATGGTTTATATATATACACAGAGCCAGCTAATCCAATCCAGAGTGTACTTGTATGAGTTTGAAACGAAGAAAGAGCATTTACCTTTTGGATGGTGAAAGAGTCGAGAAGAGCAACAACATCATGAACAAGGTCCATATAGGTTGTTTTCTCGGGCTCAGCTGAGTGGTCAGAGAGTCCATAGCCCCTGAAATCGATCGAAATGGCTCGGTAGCCTGCGTTTGCAACTGCAATCATCTGGTACCTCCATGAATACCAGATTTCTGGGAATCCATGCAAGAACAACACCACCTTAGGACCTACAACACAAAATTTATTTAATTTTCATGATCAGCAAGCAATAATGAACAAATTAATACAATATCTATATATCTTACTTCTTATATGCGAATTACCTGTTCCAATTTGAGCAACGTGAAGCTTTACTCCTCTTACTTCAACATGAGTGTGTTGGATTTGATCCATATCAATGAAGAGAGATAAGAGTTAGAGAGAAAGACAGTAGGAGAAGATGCTTTGAAAATGACGTCTTGGGGATCAGATGTTGAAACACCAACGCATGATATTCTATTCAGTAATATAAGTCTCTGATAGAGATCAATAATATCAGGGCCCTCGTTATTACTGGGCTTTATAGCTCGCCCGACTTGGCCCACGATCATACTAGGATAATGTTATGTACTTGGCATCATCTTCTTATCTAAGATTTTGGGATCTGCAAACTCTAAAGTCCCAGGTAATAAAACCCCATTTTTAGTTATCGTTTTTTCTTTTTAAATCACAGTTCACAGTTTTGTTGAATTAGATGAAGGGTTGTTTGACTAATAGGTGAGATCACACCTGAGATTACGTTGATTACNAGTCCCAGGTAATAAAACCCCATTTTTAGTTATCGTTTTTTCTTTTTAAATCACAGTTCACAGTTTTGTTGAATTAGATGAAGGGTTGTTTGACTAATAGGTGAGATCACACCTGAGATTACGTCGATTACCATCTAAACATAACATGTTTTTTTTCTTCACTATTTTCTAGCTTATAAGAAAAGAATAACGCTGGATATCCCACAAACATTTTGTTTTGGTGTGTGCGCTAGTTTCTCTTCTGTTTGTAATGAAACTATACTTGAACTTGAAATGGTTTTTGTTCTGAGAAGTTTTGATATAGAAGGTCCAATCATCCTGTATACAGGACCTGGCTGGATTTCAGAAAAGAATTTGAATTACACCTGATGACCAATAAGTTCATGATTTCCATTAATTAAGGGTTCATGATTTCCATTAATTAAGGGCATGTGTGATTAGATATTTAGATGATTGCCTCTCCCATTTAGAAATTTTTTAATCCTCGTTCCGTTACCTCTAAAGGGACCTACAGTACGTAAGAATTTTAATTATATTATGGTCCTTTATTAAAAGTGAATGGGTAATTGCTGATGTGGATTATAATAAAAGTTATATGCGGTTGTTTCTTTTGGATAGTTATTTTTTATGGAAAGACAATTACATTTATAAAGGAGATTTTACAGGTTCCCGTTTGATGCAATTAATTCATTTTTCCCAAAACCATCGCTCTGAAAAATTACAGTCAGTGGAAGACTCTATATTTAGAAGTGACAGAAGCAAGAAGACTAAACAATAATTACTATGGCTGGAGGTTTGTAAATTACTTCCGCAATATTCCATGAATATTTGACATGTTTATAATTGATTATATTATGAACTTTTATATGAATGATGGAATTGAAATGTTTTTACATTTGGTATCAGAGCAAATGTTTGAATCTCTGCCTAGCATGAAATTGTTTGTTGCAAATTTGGTGAATATTGCATAAAATTGAGATTTTTTCAATTAAAACCCGTACTATAAATCAAGCATAACTTTTATTATAAATAGAATATGTTTTTGATTTTGGTGTCATTGGAATCCTTGTTGAAAAAGCTTTCCAACAATATATTATTTGTCAAAAACGGAGTTATGATTGCAAAGCTATGCTAGTTTAAAGTTTCGGCTAGAAATTGTCGTTTGGGTGTTTCGGTAGCCATTTACGGCACCGATTTGGGACGAAAATGTCATTTGGGATGTCACCGGCATAGGTCATACGTCCACATTCAAGTTTCCCCTCTAAAATGTCGAAAAAATGGCCGGAATCGGGCTGTTAAAATCTGTAAAAAAAAGGTCAAAAGTTGAAAAAAAAATGGGTCAAGAAGAACCGACCCAATTTGGTAAACGGGTCAAATCGATCCGGTCAAGGATACAACGGGTCAAATTGACCTGGTCAAAGTCAAAGGTTAGAACGGGTCAAACCGACCTGACCAAACCAGCCTAGAACCCGATGGGTCAACCCGACCCGATCAACATGGTCAACGACTCAAACTAGGTCAACAAGTCAGTCAGGTCAACGAACCGGTCAACAGGTCAAACCGGATCAAATAGGTCAAACTAGGTCAATGAACTGGGTAACAGGTCAACCTGACCCGATCAAACGAACCCGTGTTGACTTATGGCGCTTGTGATTGCGTCAGGCATGTGGAGTTATGTGTTGAGGCGCGTGACTAGGTCGTGAAGGCGCGTGCAATCACGTGTTATCTTCTGGAAGCGTGTGACGACGCGTGGAGTCAAGTGGCTGTGCGTGGTCTTGTCACGGTGGCGCGTGGGAGTCGGTGACAATGCGTATGATGGTTTTTATGTCATGTATTACTTTGTTATGTATAAATAATGTGTTATTCTTGTATTGATTTATGTTATGTTGTATTATATGCAATAATTCATGTTATAATTATTTGATTAATTATGATCGTATATATTTGATTAATTTAGAGTAGCCACAACATCTAAGTTATGATAATATATGCATTAAGTAATATTAATTATGATGATATTAATTATGATCATCATTCATATAAAAGTGCATAATATAATCAATTATAAACATGTCAAATATTCATGAAATATTGTGGAAGTAATTTACAAACCTCCAGCCATAGCAATTGTTGTTTAGTCTTCTTGCGTCTGTCACCTCAGAATACAGAGTCTTCCACTGACGGCAATTTTTCAGAGCAATGGTTTTGGGAAAAATGAATTAATTGCATCAAATGGGGACCTGTAAAATCTCCTTTATAAATGCAGTTGTCTTTCCATTTTACCTGCAGGGAATGTTATATTTTCATGATTAATTAGGGACGAAATAGAAATTATTCTTATTTCTTAATTAGCCCACAGGTATTATGAAATATTAATAATTTATAGTTTCATCATTAAAGGATAATGAATCATAATATGTAATGTCTTTACCCACAGGGAGATTTTATGATATGTCGATTCATTTATGATTTATTATTTGTTTTACATTGGTAAACTTATAATTTTTATAGATTGTTTGTGCCTCATAATTTATTTAGTAAGCATATCTGTTGATATACCTACAGTTGATCAAACTTTGATGATGGTTGAGGATAAGGTTCCTTATTTAAATAGTGATAACTACAAATCCTTGAGGGAGGCTATCCTTCTTCATTTAGGGTGCATTAATCTTGACTATGCTCTTCGTAAGGAAGAGCCATCTACACCTATGGATACTAGTTCTTAGGTTGAGATTGCTTTCTATGAACGGTGGGAGCGATCCAACCGTTTAAGCATGATGTTTATCAAATCTCACATTACAAGTAGTATTCGTGGGTCGATACCGGAGTGTGAAAATGTCAAGGATCTAATGGATGCAATTCATGCTCAGTTTGAAACATCAGACAAGGCATTAGGTAGCACCCATTGACATCCATAAAGCTCACCGGTATTAAAGGAGTTTGTGAGCATATTATGAAAATGAGGGACATCGCTGCTCAGTTGAGATCCCTTCAGATGGTGATTAATGATGATTTCCTGGTGCATTATGTCCTGAACTCTCTCTCGTCTCATTATACTCCTTTCAATATATCTTATAACACACAAAAGGATAAATGGTCTATCAATGAGCTTTTGACCATGTGTGTTCAAGAGGAGGAGAGACTGCTTCAGGAAGTGAATGAAACTGCACACCTGGTGACAGGAAATGTCAAGTACACTTCAAACAAGAATAAGAAATGGAAGGGAAAAGGCAAGCTGCATGAGGTTATGAGCAAAAGAAATAAGGACAACATCAAGTGTTTCTTCTGTAAAAAGAAGGGACACATGAAGAAGGATTGTCCTAAAAAAAATGTTTGGCTTGACAAGAAAGGTAACCTCACATCTCTTGTGTGTTATGAATCTAATATGATTTGTGTTTCACATAATGATTGGTGGATTGATTCTGGTTCTACAATCCATGTTTTTTATACCATACAGGGTTTTTTGGATCAAAGGAAACCGTTGGGAAGTGAATGCAGCATCTATTCGGGAAACATGATGCCTTCACGTGTTGAAGTTATTGGAATATTTAGACTTATTTTAAGCACTAATTATATTTTGGATTTGGAACGAACCTTTTATATTCTTAGTTTTTCTAGGAATTTAATTTCAATTTCTAAACTTGTACCTTGTGGATACTCTTTCAACTTTTATTGTAGTTCTTTTAATTTAATTAAGAACTCATTTATTGTTGGAAATGGTACTATGGCTGATGGTTTGTTTAAAATTTATTTAAGTGATACTGTTTCTTATAGTCTTATGACTTCACATGCTAGTACTGGTATTAAATATACTGTTATGTATGAAAACTCTTCTTTTTTGTGGCATAGGAGATTAAGACACATATCCATTGATAGAATTAAAAGGTTGGTAAATGCTAGAGTTCTTGAAACTCTTGACTTTACTAACTTTGATACTTGTGTAGACTGCATTAAGGGAAAGCAAACTAACAAATCCAAGAAGGGTGCCAGGAAGAGTTCTGAACTTTTAGAGATCATACACAGATATTTGTTGCCCTAACATGAGCTCTAGTGGTCAGAAATATTTCATCACCTTTATTGATGATCACTCACGATATATGTATCTCTATTTGCTTTATCACAAGGATGAAGTGTTGGATGCTTTCAAAAAATATAAAGCAGAAGTAGAGAAACAATGTGGAAAACGAATTAAGATCGTGAGATCTGATAGAGGTGGTGAATATTATGTTAGATACACTGGTACAGGACAAGCACTTGGTCAATTTGCTAAATTTCTTTAAGAGCAAGGTATTGTGGCTCAATACACCTTGCCTGGCACACCATCTCAGAATGGTGTAGCAGAATGGAGAAATAGAACATTAATGGATATGGTACGGAGTATGTTGAGTAACTCCAAACTTTCTCATTCTTTATGGATTGAAGCTCTCAAAACTGCAGCGTATATATTAAACCGAGTTCCAACTAAGGCGGTTCCCAAAACGCTATTTGAGTTATGGAAAGGCTGGAAACCAAGTTTAAGTCATTTACGTGTCTAGGGTAGCCTAGTTGAGGTTAGAGTTTATAATCCACAAGAACAGAAGTTAGATCCTAAGACTATTAGTGCATATTTTATTGGAAATGCGGAAAA